ACTCTGAAAGAATAGAGAAATTCCAAGCGCTTTCGTGACTACTCACATTATCAAGGAACTATGAAAGTGAAACATCCAAGGAAGCTATATAAGGGGTCGGCCAGCACCTCACTATCAGATCCCACAACGGTTAAACACGTGACGCGCGGCGAGCCAACTTGGATAGGTTCTTTGCAAAACTCACCCCCAAGCTATTTATTTGTCCAGTGTATTATTAAATTCTTCCCAAATTCTATTAATTATAAATGGATCTAATTTATATAAACCAAAAGAAATATTCATATTATTGTCAAAACTGCTTTTTATGAAACAAGATTCAATTACATTCTGTCGACCATGGACTTGCTTGATACTACTTTCTCAACTTTTTGAAAATCAATTGGATGGTTAAAATCTCTTACATGAATAAATAGAGCATTGGAATCTTGTCCAGTTCTAATGCTATATTTATGTTGTTTTAATCTTAGTTCGAGATTTTTACCAGTTTGACCGTAATAAACTTTATCGCAAATTTTACAAGGAATCTTATAGACACATCCATCAGCATTTTGGGGGGAATTCTTTATCAAAAGTTTTTTTTACTGTATCAAGATTTTTGAATACAACTTTAATATTAAAAGTCTTAAGAAGAGAAGGCATATCAACCAAGTTTTCATGGTAAGGGAGAACCAACATATTTTTAGTTGAATAAGGCTGGTTGTCCCTTTCCTCATAGATGAGGAAATATCCAAAATTTATGAAATAGGTAATGATTTAAAATACCCAAGAAATGTAATTGATAAATCTTTTAAAGTTGCTAGAAACACTTTTTATAATCCAAAAAGGGACAACCAGCCTTATTCAACTAAAAATATGTTGGTTCTCCCTTACCATGAAAACTTGGTTGATATGCCTTCTCTTCTTAAGACTTATAATATTAAAGTTGTATTCAAAAATCTTGATACCAACAAGAAAATAATGTTCGATTTTATGATAAAGTTTTCAAAACTAATTTGGGGATATCCAAAAATGGAGTCGTTCAAAGTAATTCTGGAATACTCTAATGTATTTTGGAAGTGTTCCAATATATTTATGAATGTGCTCCAACGTAATTTGGAAATGTTGTAAATGTTATCCCAATCAATTTTGTCCATATTACCGAAATTGAGGGAATGTGGCTAAAAATGTGATTTATATCATATCTTAGTTGGATGTGTTCGTGATATATTTATAAAAAAATGAGTGTTTTCTAAAAATTTGTGACATGTTGTGAATATTACTGAGTCAAAAATGCGGGTGACATTTTTTTTCTGATGAAATAGATGAACTGAGAAAAATTGTGGGGTTATGAATATAATATTAAACTATGTGGAGTTGAGGAGATAGATTTTATTAGAAATTTAGTGTAGGAGGAAATGTGGGGATTTCTATAAAATGGATATTAGCTGGTAGTGTTGATCTTAGGTTGGGTAGGTAGTTTCAGTGGTGTTTTGGGGGTGTTCACATGATATTTTTGGAGTATTCAATGGTAATTGATGGTGTTTTTGGTAGTGTTCAAAGTAAAGTGAGTTGTCTGTGTGTGTTAGGTGGTTATAGAATTTTGTGAATATCTTGGTTACAGTGATTTTTAGTGGATTTGAGATGGGTGATGAGATGAATTTGTGGATGTGAAATGTGATTTTTGTGTTTGTTCTGAAGAGGTGTGATGGGAAACGGGTGAGTGGATGTGAAGAAATGTGAGTGAGATGGAGAGGGGTATGGGGAGGGTTGTATTAGAAATTTAATGAAACATGGGGGGATTTTACTGAAAATAAAGGTAATGTGTGAATATTTTAAAAGAATTTATAGAATTGAAAAGTTATGATATATTGGAAAAGAATGGAGGGTTGGTAGAACATGTCTCAGAAGTTGGGTAGTGAGATTAGTTGTTGTGAGTATAATATCAATTTATGTGGATACAAGGAGATCGGTATGGAGAGGAATTTATTAGAATTTTAGTAATGTAGGGAGGAATGTGCATTACATTTAAGATTCAGTTAAAAGAAGGGGAAAAATTTGTATCGAATAAATTGTGAATAAAATGGTAACTGATGAGGGATGTGGGTATTGTTGTCGAACTAGATATATCGAAAAAAAGATGTTATAAGTGGGTTGTTGTTGTGACTTTTTCTGATGAAATAGTTAAAACGAGAAAAAATTGTGGGGGTGTGGGTGATGTGGGTTGTGGGTGTTGTTGTCGAACTAGAGATACCGAAAAAGTGGTTATAAGTTGTGGGTTGTTGTTGTGACTTTTTCTGATGAAATTAGTTAAAACGAGAAAAAATTGTGGGATGTGGGTGTTGTGGGATGTGGGTGTTGTGGGTGTTGATCTTAGTTTATGGTGATTTTGGTGGTATTTTGAGTGTATTCAGTGGTGTTTTAGTAGTATTCAGTGGTGTATTTGGGAGTACTCAAATTGTGTTTTGAGGTTATTCAAAGGTGTTTTTGAAGGTGTTCAAATGATGTGCAAGAGTACTTAAGAAGGTGTTCTGAGAGTATTCAGAGGTGATTTTGGGGGTGTTCGAATGATGTTTTTGGAGTATTTAAAGGCAATTGATGGTGTTTTTTGGTGATGTTCAAAGTAAAGTGTTTGAGTTAGTTTTTGTGAAAATGTTGTGAAGTCTGGAGACTGAGCTAGGAGTTTAGGGGGATGAGTTGTAATTTAATGAAATGTGTAAGTGTAGATAAATTAGAGATGTCAAATCTTATTTGGGAGTATTCAAAATGTTGTCTTAGAAGTGTTTCAGTGTTGTTTGCAAATGTTCAAAGGTATTTTTGTGAGTATTCAAATGATTTATGAGTGTGTTTTGAAGGTGTTCAAAGCAAAGTGAGGTGTGTGTGCGTATTAACTTCGTAATATGTAAAATTGTGACTAGTGAATTTATCGAAAAGTGGTTATAAGTGATGTGGTGACTTTTTCTGATGAAATAGTTAAAATGAGAAAAATGTCTAGACTTGTGTTGTATTTTGTGAAGAAATTGTGGATTGTTGTGGGTATTAACGAAAAAATGTGAAATTATTTGGGTTATCCTTGGTTAAGAGTGAAAATGTTTTCCCTGTGTTGTATATGAAATGTGTAGGGATAAGTCGACAAGATTCAGCCTGTGTGCAGGGTCATCACGTGACGTCATTGACATAGAGGGAAGTCGACAAGATTCAGCCTGTATGTGTGAGGTCATCACGTGACGTCACTGACCGCCGAGTAAACACAGGTGGGGTGACATCACACTTGTTTAGACCTGTAGTAAGAGAAAGTACCATGCCCCATAGGAGGAGTTCATTTGAATGCTTACCCTGAGAGGGGGGAATCCAAAAAAACTTGATCCGAGGAGATGGAGGAGAAAACCTTGATCCAAGGAGATCATAAGAATTTCGAAACCCCATAGAGGGGAATCCAAAAGCTTGATCCAAGGAGATGGAGTCTTTGTATTATCGAGGAAAAAAATTGGGATGCAAAATTGGGGTGGGGGTGAAAGTGGGGGGAATCCAAAAAACTTGATCCGAGGAGATGGAGTCTTTGTATTATCGAGAAAAAACTTGATCCGAGAAAGTGGAGTCTTTGATTTCGAGAAAATCTTTGATCCAAGGAGATGGAGTCTTTGTATTATCGAGAAAACCTTGATCCAAGGAAGTAGAGCAGGAATATTTGGGATGCAAGTGGGAGTCCATTTTGAATGCTTACCCCCAGAGGGGGGGAATCCAAAAAACTTGATCCGAGGAATTGGAGTCTTTGTATTATCGAGAAAAATTTGATCCGAGGAAATGGAGTCTTTGTATTATCGAGAAAAATTTGATCCGAGGAAATGGAGTCTTTGATTTCTAGAAAAAAAATCGAAAAAATTTGGGGTGTGGGTGAAAGTGGGGGAGAGGGGGAACCTCAAAAATTTGATCCGAGGAGAGCACAAGAAACTCAAAAAAAAATTTGAAAAAAATCGGAAAAAAATTCGGGGCGCGGGGGCGATCCGGACGATGCTGCAGAAGGCGCAGCAGAAGGCGCGGTCGGGCGCGACGGCCGGGGCGCGAGGGGCGCGGGCGGGCGCGAGGGCGCGACGGGCGGGTGGACGGGGGTGGGTGGAGGGCGCGGGGGCGCGGGTGGGGGGCGCGGGGGTGGGGGTCATGTGTGGGGGGTTGAGGGTGAGGTGGTCTCGAGGGTGAGGTGGTCTGGAGGTCAAGGTCATTAGCATATAGGTGTGAAAAGGAGCCACTCAGGAAAAGGAGCCACTCAGCCGCAGCCCTTTCAGGAGGAGCCATACTGTGGGAGCCATACTGTGGGAGCCACTCTGTAGAATGAGCCACTGAGCCGCCTCCGGTACTACTTTAATATATATATATATATATTTTATATATATATATATATATTATATATATATATATATATATATATATATATATATATATATATATAAATATGCTGCTTTGGCCTGCCTCAAGGTGGGCGATAACACATGACCTCCTTATTTACTGGACCATACGATCCTTATGAATAGCGCATCCAGCAGAACTGAATGTTGTACTCGCTACTCAAGGACACGATGGTGTGAATGACTCTACGCTAATTTCATTCTAGTCCCTGTTTGGTGTACTAGTTCAACACACCATCGTGTGCCCTTGGGTAGTGAGTACAACATTCAGTTTCGCTGGATGCGCTACTCTTAAAGATCGTGTGGTCCAGTGGATTAAGGCATCATGAGTTTTTGCCCACCATGAGGCAGGCCAAAGCAGCATGGGTTCGAGTCCTTGGCTAGTGCAGTGTTGTTATTGATCAATGCCACTCGTTCGTGGTCTCAATATATATTATATATATTATATATATATATATATATATATATATATATATATATATATATATATATATATAGAGAGAGAGAGAGAGAGAGAGAGAGAGAGATCTGGTTTATCGCATCACCATTAATATATAAATTACAACAGGTGGTATAATTTTTATTGAGGTTGACCAGCATAAAAAAGTCATGATACATTACCTTCACGTAGTCGAGGAGCTTGAAGACTACGGTGGTTCTTGCGGCGAGGCGGGTGAGCTGCCCCTTCATGCTTCTGATGTGTTTCCTATACACATCAACAGCTGCCTCGGCACCTTGGCTGATGTATATATGTTGTGTAGCCCACATCCAGTGTAGCGCCGCAGCTGTTGGGACCCTCCATGTCATGACTCGGTACTCTCCCCATGTATTGTGTAAGAATACCCTAACATAAAATCTGGAAAGCTAATTTGTACTTATAATATAATCCAGTGGGTACTAAGATGGTAAGGCAGCATTTTAAATATATTCATGACAACCATTAATAAAACTAAAACTGAGTGATGTTGATTACACATTAAATGTGGCAGCGAGTACTGTTTTTGGCATCAGCTGTGTGTTGTCAGGGAAGAGCAATAAGTTTTGTTACTACAGACACAAAGCCTTTCAGTGTTGTCAGAGCATATCCATCATTTTTTACTGATTTAACTTATACCTAGCCTATTGCAACTGTACATACGAGCTCATAGGTGATATAATTTCTCTGTCCTCCACGGAGGGAGTATGGCACCAAATGATTGGCTTCTCCATTTGCATCCCTGTTTAAATCCACAATCCTACCACACATACAGGAAAAACAATGTTTGATCATGTCAAGCAGTGCGCCATCCCCCTCCCCAGTGTGGGGAATATGTTGATTCCCCATTATTCCTAAGTCATGAGGGAGGGATGTTAAAAGATGCTGTGAGAGTTTAGAGTTGAGAAGCCTGTAACGAAATATGTAGGCATTTATATTTGCAAAATCTGGATTACCAGCAACCTTAATTAAAAGTAAGTCTTATTTAGTGATGAAGCCTCGGGTTAATATGCAACCTCATGCTTAAGTAAATAAGTTAAATTAGAGTTAGATGTAGATTAAGCACTCTAGTATTACGATAACTTCTTATAAACCTGTACTCCACGAACACACAGCCACAAACAAACCTGGGCACAGCTACACATGCTGGGAAAGGCAGTCACTCGAAGGTCCATGAATCGTGAAGAGACGGTCCTCATTTTACTTGACGGGGCTTGTCAAATGACTAGCTCAGAGAGAGCAACCTATTTTTCACTAATCAAGTTACAAACATTGAGTAGGTTTACATCCCCTTGCTCTAACTCATCCGGGAGTTACACAGTGACTCCTATAGGTATTTTGCGGTGTTCTTAAAGGGATTTAATGACCTACACATATCCACACACCAAGGCGAGAAGTGCTTGTTACTAGGACAAATAAATGTGCATTGATAGGTATGTAATGAATTACTGCCCATTTGGAAGGTCCATCACTGAAACTTTACAATACCTAAAATACGAGCATACTCAGGCATACAAACTGCTATTGTCTAGATAGAGGTAAGATATCCTATGTTATCCAAGGAAAGGAAGGCAGAATTCTGGATTGGACTCAACTTGATCTGGTCGTATAATTAACTAATCAGTCAATATACACACACAGCCCTATTTTAGACAAGGCAGGTCTTAATACAATTTTCTAAGTTTGCTTCATTCTATTTGGTGCCTTATTTTATTTTCATATATCAGTGAATTTATCATATCTGTGGAGCCTCAACATTCGAGAGTGACCTTGGTCTCACTTGACCTCTGAGAGTGACCTTGGTCTTACTTGACCTCTGAAAGTGACCTTGGTCTCACCTGACCTCTGAGAGTGACCTTGGTCTCACTTGACCTCTGAGAGTGACCCTGGTCTCACTTGACCTCTGAGAGTGACCCTGGCCTCACTTGACCTCTGAGAGTGACCCTGGTCTCACTTGACCTCTGAGAGTGACCTTGGTCTCACTTGACCTCTGAAAGTGACCTTGGTCTCACCTGACCTCTGAGAGTGACCTTGGTCTCACTTGACCTCTGAAAGTGACCTTGGTCTCACCTGACCTCTGAGAGTGACCTTGGTTTCACTTGACCTCTGAGTGACCCTGGCCTCACTTGAACTCTGAGAGTGACCCTGGTCTCACTTGGCCTCTGAGAGTGACCCTGGTCTCACTTGAACTCTGTGAAGGCTTACTCAGCCCTGTAACAACTTCAGACAGTATTACCAAGGCTGGCTCCTCCTCAGGAAAATTAATGTATAGAAAAAGAATAAAAACTGACAAACATAAACACTTTATTATTTAGAAAATATAAAATATAAAACACTTAAATATGAAATATTAATCCTACATTAAAGAAAATGAAAAATGAAAAATATAAATGATAACTGAATTCAATGCTAATATAAATAGAACTTGGGTGTCTGGTGTTGGTGACACTGCATGTGGTTGAAATCGTAGCCGTTGCTAATGATGTGGGGAAGGGGGTCGCAGGTGTTGGTGACAACCCACTAGCTCGTTCTTGTGGCTGTAAATAATCTCTCCCGATGACAGGAAATCAGGTTTTGTACCGCTGCAATGATGAGGGGTTACGTCCTGATTCTTCATACATATGCACAGGCAAGTAAATACAACAGGGGACGTCTCCAGGATGTTAGTCCATCTCCTTCAATTCTACTCGTTGATTGGCAGGTGACCCTCTCTGTCATCCAAGCTGGAAAGATAGACAGGTTACCCACTGCTTAAGAAATCACTCTCCATGATAAGTACAATACCTAAAAGACGTGGTGATCATTACAACAGTCAACCTACAGCAAGACTGGAAGAACTAAATTTATTATTGGTCAAAAGTGAAGCTTTCAACCAATAAATCCACTAGAATACAAGGCAGGCATGTACTTACAGTAGTGCTGGGAGCTGTGAGTCTGGTGATTACTGTTTGGACCGGGGGGGGGGAGAAGAAGGGGAAGGGATAGCGGGAGCTAGACTTACCCTACCTTAACAAGCAGCCAGCAATCAAACTATCACTTTAGGGGTGGGGGAAAAAAGGGGGGAATAGCGGGAGCTAGACTTACGTTACCTTAACAAGTAGCCGGCAAGCAAACTATCACTTTCGGGGAGGGGGAAAAAAAAGGCGGAAATAGCAGGAGCTTGACTTACCCTACCTTAACAAGTAGCCGGCAATGAAACTATTGTTACTATATGCTCCCTCGCTACTCCTATCTGTTCAACTTTTCCCTCACACTCCACCATACCAAGACTTATAGTCAAGGAGTATAAGAAGAATAGGCGAGGAAAAAGTTCTAACATGTGAAAGTCGCGTAAGGCAACAAATCTTCTATTGACTGTCACGACATAACCAGTCAGAGAAATAATTGGATGAACCATTGATATACACAATATGGAACTTAAAAGCCTGGAGTGCCAATGTCCACCTCAAGAGGCGACTGTTGGTTCCCTTAAAAGTTTCTAGGTATATCAAAGGTTTGTGGTCCGTTTCTAAAATGAATTCTTTTCCCAGCAAATAAAATTTAAGTTTGGAGATACCCCACACAAGGGCTAAACATTCCTTTTCTATTGTGGAGCATCTCGTTTCTGTGGGAAGGAGTTTCCGGCTTAGGAAACATGCAGGGAAGGGAGTACCATCATGGTATTGTAGTAACACTGCACCTAAGCCAGTATTGGAGGCATCAGTTCTCAAACAAAATGTTTTATTAATATCTGGAATCTTAAGTATCAGATCTTTTGAAAAGATACTTTTAATCTCATTACACTTTTCCAGAGCTACGTCGGAAAGTTCAAGAGGTTCCTTCACAGACTTTTTAAGGAAGTCGGATGAGATGCCTGTATGATCGGTAAGGTTCGGGATAAACCATGCATAAAAATTTACAGAACCAAGAAAGCTATGCATGAGCTTCTTGGTTTTGGGGAATTTAAATTCTAATAAAGCTTTGATCTTACTGGGGAGAGGCTGCAGAGAGTTATTAGAAAGTATCAGTCCAAGATATCTAATCTTGTTATACCCAAGGAAGCATTACTTCGGCTTGGCAGTGAGGCCATGTGAGCGTAACCTACGTAAAACTGATGTTAATGTTTGGATATGTTCGCCCCATGTAGATGTCATTACGTAAATGTTATCAAAATAAACTGAAACATTTGGCATATTACCCAAGACCTTTCTCATCAGTCTCACGTAGGTAGCACAGGCAGTTACCAAACCGAAGGGCATAGTTCTATATTGCATCAGTCCTTGGTGTGTAGGAAAAGCGGTGTACTGCTTAGAAGAAGGATCTAACATTACTTGATGATATGCCTGCGCAATATCAATCTCTGAAAAGAAGGAAGAGTCATAAAATTTGTGTAGATCGCTATCCATTAAGGGCATAGGCTCAGCATCCCACCGAGTTATAGCATTAAGGCCTCTGAAGTCAATAGCAAGTCTATATGAATTATCCTCCTTCTTAACAATGACTAATGGTGAACAATATGAAGATACTGAAGGTTCAATTTGACCTCTCGGTCAAATGCATCCCAAAGGTGAACTGGAACTGGGTATAATTATCGTTTGATAGGATTGTCTGTCACTAAGTCAATCTTATGGACTACCGTGGAGGTAACACCTGGAATATCAGTAAAGACGTCTGCAAAGTTACTCACACATTGAAGTAGTTCATGTTTCTTATGGTCATCCAAAGATTCATTAATATTAATGTTGGTTGCGTCCGAGTGGTCAAGAGTCACCAAGTCATGTAGTTCTTCATCATAGTCTAAGTTAGAGGTGTCATTTACGCACACCTTACATTCTTCAGTTGTCGTATCAAGTTCGTGTGGAAAAACTAAGTCAAAGTTATTAAGGCAGTTAACCAAATTTCTTCGGTAATATTTCTTAAGGATGTTGATATGATAAAGCTTAGGTTTCCCTTGACTTCTGTGAGGTAGTCAACTTTCCCACAAATTTTTAATACTTTATATGGACCTTTCCATGCTACTAATAATTTATTTGACTTGATCGGCAAAAGTACAAGAACTTCATCCCCTACTTTAAAACTTCTCCTCTGACTTTTGGAATCAAAATAGATTTTGTACTGGTCCATTGACAAGTGTAAGTTTTTCGAAACTATGTCAGAGGTTTCCTCAAGTTTGGATCTAAGGTTAAGGAGAAACTGGTAAGAAGACTGAACCTCAGCATTTACCTCCTCATTAGTCCATAAGTCATGAAGGATGGACAGTGGACCTCTGGCCTGTCTACCATAGAGAAGTTCAAAAGTTGAAAACCCCAAAGAGTCACTGGGAACTTCCCT